GCCTTGTCTTCGATGGGGGGATGAAGATGACGATGGCGATGTTGGTGGTGATGATGGTGGTGGTGATGCTGATGCTGATGTTGATGCTGCTTCTACTGCTGCTGCTGCTGCTGCTGCTGCTGATGCTTATACTGATGAACATGATGCTGATGATGTGGACGAGGAGGAGGAGGAGCAGGAGGAGGAGGAGGAGGAGGAGGAGGAGGAGGAGGCGAGGAGGAGAGCGAGAGAGAGAGAGAGAGAGAGAGTGAGAGAGAGGGGGGGCGCCGCGGCAATAGTAGGTGCCGTGGCCGCCACGAGCGCGCGAAGGAAAGAAGGGGGGAAGGGAGGGAGGAGAGGGAGGATGGAGGGAGAAGGAGGAGGATGAGGAACCAAAGGAGGAGGAGGAAGGAGAAGGAGAAGGAGGAGGAGGAAGAGGAGGAGGAAGAGGAGGAGGATGAGGAGAAGAAGTGGGAGGAGGAGGAGGAGGAATAGGAGGATGAGGAGAAGAAGGGGGAGGAGGATGATGAGGAGGAGCAGGAGGAGGAGGATGAGGAGGAGGAGGAGAGGAAGGGGGAGGAGGAGGAGGAGGAGGAGGAGGAGGAGGAGGAAGAGGACTAGGAGGAGGAGGAGGAGGAGGAGGAGAAGGAGGAGGAGGAGGAGGAGGGGGAGAAGGGGGGAGACGGAGGATGAACCACAGTACACCCACGGGTTATCAATGATGCCGCGAGACGCCCTCCGGTCTCAAGTTACCTCTTCACAGCTCCCTGCGAGAACCCTTTGTTGTCACTGCGGCAGGCGCCCCCTTGTAAGACGAGCGCCCCATTGGCTGGCACGTCTGGCGGGAACTTCGTCTTGAAAGGCATTGCCCGTCATCTTCCGAGCTGTAAGGGCTGCGACAGGGTGCGGTTGTACAGTGCAAGGAAGTGCCCAGCGTCAGTCCCGATCTGAGAAGGAACCGCCCTCCATGAGGGTGATGCTGAGCGGTGGTTGTGATGAGGAGGAGGAGGAGAGGGAGGCGCGATTCTGATCTGGAGGATGACGACGTCGACGGCGATGATGAGGATGATGATGGTGATGATGACGACGATGATGATCATGAAGATGATGATGGTGATGATGGTGCTGGTGATGATGCTCATGCTGGTGATCGTGGTGGTGGTGATGATGGTGGTGGTGATGCTGATGATGATGACGATGCTGATGATGCTGATGATGCTGCTGATGATGATGATGATGATGATGATGATGATGATGATGATGATGATGATGATGATGATGATTGTGGTGGTGGTGATGATGGTAATGATGATGAGACGGAGGAGAGGATGAGCAGGACGAGAGGATGATGAGGAGGAAGTAGGGAGGAGAGGACAAGGACGAATGGGGGATGGGAAGGAGTAGGAGGATCACGGGGGAGGATAGGGATGAGGTTCTCTAAGTCTTTGCGTGCGTGTGATTTAACCAGTGCGTTAGTTTTGGCCTAAACTATTCTAACCATAGGCTGCGCTCAGTACAGTCGCGGCTACTACATCCCATGTTGCACGAGTCCAGGGCTATGATCGGTTCTAGCTAGTGGGTCATCAGTATTAAACCTGCTAGGGCTCTTGCATGGCAGGTCGTCGGGAAGACGCACGAGTCAGCATCTTGCGAGTCGTTGCGATATGGGCGTGGAGGAGGAGGAAGAGGTAGAGGGGAGGAGGAGGAGGAGGAGGCGGCGGAGGAGGAGGAGGGGGAGGTGGAGGAGGAGGAATCTCTCTCTCTCTCTCTCTTTCTATCCCCCTCTATATGTGTACACATACAGATATATCCTGGATGAGCTGAGGGCGCCTGCGAGGCCTGACGGCGAGGGGGGCACACTGGCGGACGAAGGGAGGGGGAGAGGTGGAGGGGCACGGAGAGGGAGGGAGGGTCGGAGGGGGGAAGGGAGCTTCAGTGCACCCCTCCTCTCCGGCCGAGCACGCGGTGGGTGGGGAAGCAGGGGCGCCCGCGATCCGATCCGATGCGATTCGATCCGCCCGCTGGGGCCGCGATCCCGAGATTCGCTTCGAGAGGGGGCGCTGCATCCTGCAGGCGCCCCGGGCCCGCCCTGCCGACTGCCAGCCCGCCGCGCAGGCATGCCAGGGGTTAGCCCTGGCATCGTTCGGACGTGTGCATTTTTCCTTCGGCGAAGACCATCGAGGAGCATCTCTGGTCATTTGGCGAAGAAGCCACGCACGAAACCGAAAAAAAACACAGGGAATGGACGTCCGAGCGATGGCCAGTAGCAGCGCGCCCGACTGGCGCCCGCTTCGACTCGCCGGCACCGGCCAGGGCCTGCCGGGGCCGCGCGCGGCGGGCCGATCCCGCCTCGACTCGGGACGACTCGCTGGTGCTCCGACCCGCTCCCGAGCTGACCCGGTCTCGCAGGTCGGCCCGGCGCAGGCCCGAGAGAGGGAGACCGGGCTCTGCACCACAGAGACCGATGAGGATAGCGAGGATGGGCCTGCGAGAGAGGTGATCGGGCCACCTGTAGGATTGTGGAGGACGATCACTGGAGAGGAAGCAGGTTGCCAAATCATGTCCAGATGCCTAAAAACATGTGTTACACATGCTTTAAGCATGTAATACATGTGTAAAACATGTTTAGAACAGCTTCCGAATTTTAAGCACACTTTAAATTGAATGATAGACTGTTAGGGTGCCCATCGTCGTGGCATCCACAACTGCAGGATCGCGTGTGTTGGGTGTGTTGCTTATGACTCAGTCGTGCCCTGTATCTTCCCAACCCCTTCCTCCCACTGCGATGCTTGTCCTCTCGCTGTAGGTCAGCCGCGGGGGCCCGAAGATGCGATCGCGCCGTGCGCCCCCGGGGGGACGGCCTGCACCGCTCTTCTCCAAGACGGCGCTGGCGGGGGCGCGAAGACGGCCGCGCCTCCGTGCCTCCTGCTCCTCCTCCTCCTCCTCCTCCTCCTCCACCTCTGCCTCTGCCTGATCCTCCTCCTCCACCTCTGCCTCTGCCTGCTCCTCCTCCTTCGCCTCCTCCATGCCCTCCTCCTCCTCCTCCGCCTCTGGCTGCTCCTCCTCCTCCTCCGCCTCTGCCTGCTCCTTCTCCTCGTCCTCCTCCTCCGCCTCTGCCTGCTCCCCCTCTTCCTCCTCCACCCTCTTTCTCATGAGTAGCCCCTCCCTGGCGCATCCCGGGGCCGGTCGAAAGGGCGGGCCGGGCGTTTCGATTGAGAGTGCCTCACCGTTTACGGCCCTGAAACTTGTAATCCCACAAGCCCTCTGGGCGTAGGTGGTCTAACGATATTCTGTCTTTCCTCTTCCACAAAACCCCTCTTCCCCTTCGGGGACTGGTTTACCCCTCCCCCTACTCCCTCCCCTGGCCTTTTTCGGCGGCGGTCGCGGGTGACTGGAGGGTCCTTTTCCGGCCCCTTGGAGGGCCAAGTTTTGACGCCCCTCACGAGGATAGTGGCCCCCGAGGGGGGGACCTCGATCGGGAGATTTTTGCCTTCTCGCCGTTTCGCTTCCGATGCGCTTTGGGGGCCTCACGATGGTCCCAAGATGGCCCAAGAAGGCCCCAAGAGGGGCCCAATCTGCTCCTAAGTCGGTCCCAACGCCCAAGAGCGCCCCGAGAGGGCTATAAGAGCACCCCAAGAGGCGGTTCTCAGGGCCCCAGGGGGGGACCTAGATCGGGACCCCCCCTCCTTTGATCGATAGCCTCGAAGATGGCCCCAAGAGGCGCTCCAGGGCTCCCAAGAAATCCCCAAGACAGCCCCTCTTTGGCACCAAGAGGGTCCCAAGAGAGCCGCAAGACGGCCCCAAGAGGCCCCGAGCGGCCTCAGCGAGCCGAAGATGACCTCCAAGATGGCTCAGATAGCCCAAGCTGGCTCAAGATGGCTCCCAAGATGCTCCAAACGGCCCCAAGACCGCCCCAAGAGCGCTCAATAGCGCTCCACGAGAGTCCCAAGAAGCGGTTGGCGGGCTCCTGAAGGGGGAGCTGAGTTGGGGACCCCCCCATCCTGTAATCGATGCCCTCCAACATGATCCCAAGAAGCCTTCCAGGGTTACCAAGAGGGTTCCAAGAGGGCCCCCCAAACTGGCAGAGAGCACCAGTAGCAGCAGCAGCAGCAGCAGCAGCAGCAGCAGCAGCAGCAGCAGCAGCAGCAGCAGCAGCAGCAGCAGCAGCAGCAGCAGCAGCAGCCGCAAGAATACCTCTAGATGCTTCCATGAGTCCTCCTCCGCGTCGTCCTCATCCTCGTCCTCGTCCTTCTCGTCCTCGTCCTCATCAGCGTCCTCGTCCTCCTATTCCTCCTCGTCCTCATCCTCCTCCTGCTCCTCCTCCTCTCCCCCTCGCCCCCACGCGGCCCCCAGGGATGGCCCGACGAGGCTTTCCAAGGGACCCCCTTGCTCCCAGAGATCTCTCGGTTCACCCTGGTTGCTCGCTTTGTTGCCCTAGATTTGTCTCCTCGTCCCTTTTCCCGTCAGCTCTCATGGGCAGGGATTCTGAATGGGCTGGTGGGGATATTTTTTTGGTCGGCGGCCCCGAGGCAACGGACAGGGAGCGAAAGCGGCGTCTGGGTCACGGTGCGGGCCTAATTGGTGGGGATACTTTTTGGTCAGCGGCTCCGAGGCAACGGACAGGGAGCGGAAGCGGCGTCCGGGTCACGGTACGGGGCTAATTTGCAAGACAATTGCCGCCAGAGTCGGCGAACAAAGCTCGCACCTGCAAGACAAGCTCGCAGTTGCACGTGCACAGAACAAAATTAACTAAAATCTCAGGGCTGTACAGGCGATGCAGGCTGAACCACTCAGCGCCCAGTCCTCAGTACTCCGCCTCCCAGTGCCGAGGGGAGCCATGCGGCTGTGCCCAAGGCGCAACTGCGATGCCGATCCCTGAAGCGAAGATATCCGCTGGCGAGGTGAGCACCGCCGTCGGGTGGTGATGACGTCTGCGCTGCCTGCCAGGGGGGTCTTGCTGCAGTGGAGGCAAGTGGGAGGCCGGTGGAGTGAGTCGCCTGAGGGGCGCCAGACTCCGAACG